CATCGACTACGGACATACTAGGCCACTACGCCGTAGTCCCCAGACGATACAGGGGAATCCAATCCATTGGACTTGTCTGTCCTCAGTTACCATGTACCTATAGTCCCTCATCCATCTAATATCCCAGAGACCGTATATCGAGCATGGTGCTGTCAGACCCATACGGTTTCTACTCGAGTCTCGCTCTAATCGGATTCTCCCGGAGAACTCTTTCTCTCTCAACCCGAATGACCATGGCCAGGGATTTGTCTGAGCAAGAACACATAGGATATTCCTCTCATGACGCCGAGAGTGGATGATCCTCTATTGACACTCAATAGCCCTCGTAAGGTCGACTACCACTCCCAATGACCAGTTGTACTAGATCTGGGGACAACCAAATCTATAAGTCTGGTATCAAAGAGTGGAGCACTCATACAGGACATCCTTGGTGTCTCAAGTCTAAGGACCAGATACACCACTAGGACTAAAGAATCGCTATCTGACAATAAGGCATCATCAACCATCCAGCATTCCGTAAGCGGATCAATCAGTGAACTCATTCTCCAATGAGCACCTGTACTGTATCCCTAGTGTCCCTACATGAGCAGCTATGAGACCAGCTGCATCCATCATATGGACGGGTATACAGCACACCAGTCTATCCGGTTATCACGATGTCCCTCTCGAGTAACCTATGACCGGGATTATTTAGGATATGTGTTTAAAGGTGAATCGATCTCATTATCGTGATCTCATCACGATCCGATTCCAATTGCACAAATCCAAGGACATCACAATATATATATGCATTTATGCAATAGTTATAAAGTGATATACGCCAAAATATAATAAGCAAAAAGATTTTGCACGTGTCATCACTCACGTGATTGGCTTGCTGGGCACCTATGACTAGCACTTGTTGACCACTGCATCGTTCAGTGTTACACTACACTATTTATGCATCGCCGTTGCATTGCTTTATCTCCTCTTCATTCTCGCTAACCACCCCATTGTTCAGTGTGACATTGCCTCTTATATGTCGGCACCACATTGCCTCCTCTATGTCGGTGCCACATTGCTTTATCTCTTCTTCGTTCTCGTCGACAACCACATCATCAGAAGAGGAAGAGGAGGCAAAGCAGTGCAGCGCAGATGCCTCACTTGCCTTCTCTTCCTCCTTTCGCATCACACCACTCTACCTTCTCTTCATTCTCGTCGACCACGACATTGTTTCAATGTAGTGCCTCATTTCCTCCTTTGCATCAGTGCCCATCGCTCTATCTTTTCTTCATTCTCGCTAACCATCGCATCATCGAAAGACTAAGAGGAGGTAGAGCAGTGTGACGCCGATGTAGATGCCTCACCCCCTCCTCTTCGTATACCACTTTTTGGTGGAAGGAAGAGTTCCCCAATTTGGTAGTTTGAAAAAGAAAATGAAGAGCTACTGTAAAGGCTGGAAAAATAAAATGAAGAAAAGGACACCCTTTTATAGCATAGAAATCAGCTAGCTAACACCTCTATATATATATATATATATATATATATATATATATATATATATATATATATATATATATATATATATATATATATTATTTATCCACAAGCTATATTCTAGCATTAAACCAAGTCATAAACTAAAATTATCATTTACTCATTCATTGCCTAAGATTTTTAATATCTTGCACATTTTATTGAATTCAATTAGATCATAAAGATCCATATCTATTCTTGATCCAAGTCGATCTAATATATCGATAAACTTAAATCGATGAGGGATATATGGATAATTTTTTTATAATTACGTAGTCATTCGCTCTTACACCATCTTAAATTTTCAATCGATGGCACTACATCTTAAAAGCTTAATCTTACAGATGAGACATGATTTATAGATTTATATTCCTAACATGATTTTATATTTGGTTCTAGGAGCTTGAACTTGTCACATTGTAACCCTATGGTTCACTTGCCATTTAGAGAATGAAAGCCTTGGATTACTTTCCTACATATTAAAACAACAAGCAAGAATATGTACTACCTTCACAACAAGCTAAGCTATGAAGAATTCCCAAACCAAAAGCGCGTGCAAGCCAAACAAGGCATCCATCCCTTTGGCCATGGGAGGAGGTATCCATCGCAAACCAGAAGGGAATCCCTCACCTTTCAGCCAATCAATTCGATCCACAATAACTGTATAAGAGGAAGCAGCCATGGCTTCTCTCGTCATCGATCCATAGAGAGAGCGAAGAGAGGATTCGATGGACACCAAGCCAAGAACTGCGTCTGCTGCCCGCTCCTACGAGGACTTCAAACCCACAACCGAGCTGGTTCCTGGAGAAGTCTTCGACACCTACCACATTCGTCTTCCCGGCAAGCTCTCTCTCTCTCTCTCTCTCTTCTTCTCTTCCTCATCATCATCGTCATACAGGTCCGAGAGAAGTCTCTCAGCGTTCGATATTGGTGTTTCATGCTGCAGGTTTCAGGAAGGACCATGTGAGGGTGCAGGTAGACAACCAAGGCAAACTCAGGACCAGCGGCGAGCGGCCACTGGATGGCAGGCGGTGGAGCCGATTCTACGTGGAGTTCACATTGCCAGAAAACTGCAACTTGCGCGACGTCCGAGCTAGGTTCGAGAACGAGACGCTCCAACTGAGGCTCCCGAAGCTGATCGCCCCCGAACCAGTCGTTCAAATAGAAGAGCGGGAGGAGGAGAAGAAGTTGCAACCGCCCAAGGAAGAGAAGGACGAGGCTGCTAAATCCAGTGGTGACAAGAAAATGGTGCCAAGAACGGAGACAGACGAGGTAAAGGAGAAGGAGAAGGAAGAGGCTGCTAAATCCAATGGTGACAAGAAAATGGTGCCAAGAACGGAGACAGACAAGGTAAAGGAGAAGGAAGAGGCTGATAAATCCAATGGTGACAAGAAAATGGTGCCAAGAACGGAGACAGACAAGGTAAAGGAGAAGGAGAAGGAAGAGGCTGCTAAATCCAATGGTGACAAGAAAATGGTGCCAAGAATGGAGACAGAGAAGGTAAAGGAGAAGGAGAAGGAAGAGACTAGCAGCAAAGAGAAGGTTGAGGAACAAAAATTAAACGGTGACAAGACAACGAGACCGAGAGAAGAGGCAGAGAAGGAGAAAGAAGAGGTTAAGGATGACAAAGAGAAGGTTGAGCATGGTGGCGTAGCGAGAGCGGAGCAGCCGGCGTGGCCGGAGTTGGGAGGCATGGTCATGGAGCTGAGCCAGACAGGGAAGACTCTGATTTCGAAACTGGCTGCAGCCATGCTGGTGTTGTTGGTTCTTGTGTTGTACCTCAAGTACAAATTGACGAAGGGGGAGACTCGCAGCGCTGCTAGTCTTTGATTGATGCCTTTGTTTCAAGAACAAAGGCATACTATTGCAGCACTGTAAAAGCATCACAGATATTTGAAATAAAACAGAGATGATACAAGTTCAAAAAATGGCTTCCAGTGAGTTCAAGATTTTGATTTGCCAATTACCCACATCCAATTTGAATCTAAATATCCTAGCAGAGATCATATTTTTGATCTGATGACCCAAATAGCTGGCTAATAATCATTGGATTGGATAAAAATGACTTTTTATATAACATATATCAGAATTATGCCTAATTCATTGTCACTGTTCCCTGGAACACCTAATGATGTCAAATCAGAGAGAAGTTTTCTATCTTCTCTATCTGATTGTGAAGGAGACACAGAATTTTGTCTTTTTGAAACACAATATCTTCTTCATTCCTGCTTTAACATTCAAGCTAGTGGTAATTGTTGGAATAGGAAAAACAAAAACTGTGGACTGATGAGGAAATTAACTTATCTCAATGGAACAAATGCCAAATGCTAACTTAGGGGCATGATCTTCCACATGCACACCACAGAGACTTGTACATGTTCCAAATGAGTGTCTAAAATTGGTTCCATACAATCAAATTTGGCAAGCTACCCATCACCAAGCATCGTGTCATCACGTCCAGAAATCTGTCATTTGGTGCCCTAGCTATTAGAACAGCACAACCAGCAACTACAGGATGTTGCTAAAGCATAGGTTTTGAAGCCACTGTCAACTTCCACTGCCGTTCTGTTGTGAATTGTTAACTAATTTTTTTATTGGCATCTAGAACAAAGAATGCATGTTCAAATGGTCTAGTAGAAGGATTATGAAAAACATACACTCAATCCATTGAAACAAGCTCTAATTGTGGGCATCGTAAGTTACAGCAAGAGTATGTTTTCACAAGCATATGTTGATGAAAGCATAAACAAATTCATTGTTTTACAGGAGTGATTACCAAAGATGCTGTGCAAAATACTGAAGTAGCAGAACATACGATAGATAGCTTTCTGCATTGCATGTCTTGGTGTCAGTTTCTTCTGGCCTTCTCTAGATCAGGTAGATCTGCAATCATAGAAACATATTTCAGAAACGGCAGGCCATGCTTGAATAAATGTGCTGACTAATAAGACTCCTTTAAATTTTTTTTACGTCCATGACCAGGTGGCTAAAAACCATCTGTATGGACCTGAATCAAGTTCCAAAAGTTACAATGGAACTTTAGGCAAGGCACCACATAAGCCCTGATGGTTTGTACACACATGGTCAACTTTCTATTCTAAATGGCCTGGAAGATCAAAATGTCACTGCTACAGAGGCAAAATCTTATTAACAAATAGAGTGTAGATATTCTTACAGAGTAATCCATCATCATCACTGCTCTCATCATTCATGCCATTTATCTAAACAACAATGGAGATTAAGAGTGGTTAGAGGCTCTATATAGCAACAGCAGAAAAAGTGAGGGGGTCTAAAAGAGTGATTGCACCTCATTGTTTTCATCATCAGAAGCAAGTGAGTCAGCTGTAAAGAGATGGATGTCAGTTTTGGTTTGTCCAATAAAGTGTCTTGATTTGTCAAATAAAATGTTCCAATGCAAATTCTTAAAAAGCTCAGAACAAGAAAAAAACAAGTGAGTCATCTGTTTGTTTTCTTTTTCCAACTATCTGTTGAACGGAAGTTCGTCACATTTTACAGGAGGACAACTGTAGTGCCCATTTGCTTGCCTTTTTTACCAAACTCTCCAAATCTGATAGGGTGTGGAGAGATAATTGGCACCCTTGCTCTGAGGATCAATGTTTTGGTTGTACTAGAATCTACAGTAATACATTTGCTTATGCTTGGAGGTTTCTTTTTCGTGATGTACTTGAACTTGAACAAGAAGTTTTCATCTGTGAATGAAAAATCAAAATACATTCCAGACAATAACCTGAAATTTCAATTCTGAGTTTTGTATTTTTCATTTAACTGATATGTCAAAATCTAAATCATTTATTCTAATTCTACAGTACATCCTTCTGGTAACTTTTCCCATGTTGGTGATGATCCTTGACCAAAATGGCAATCATTTTAGCTAATAGTTATTTTTGAAAATTCTCTCCTAGGTCTTAATAAAATTATGTACCTAGGTCTTAGTAAAATTATATACAGTAGAAATTCACAAGCGATTCAGATTATTGAAGTAACTCATAATTCTAACCATATCTAATTAGCATAAACTTCTAACATGATTTCTTTAGCCCTCTTTTGTTGATCAACCCGTTGATCATTGGACAGTTATGGAGCTACAACAGCAAGCATATCCAAAACTGCTCGACATACAGAGGGCTTCATATGATGTTTTCACCTCTTACATCTTTCAGTTTCAGTTATAAGTTATATTCATGTGAATAGCAACAATATTGACAAGTATTTTCTATGAACTTTGGTTTTATATTGCGGACCATGTATTTAATTGTTAGGTAGTTTTGAGTCAGAACTTTTCACTAGAAAGAAAAATCAACTTGATTGGATGGAGCAAATAGAGCTAGATGCTGACATAGAAAACAGTAGATAATCTGTTGTTGCCATAGAATATCAAGAAGATCTAGATCAAAAGGTCCACTCCTATAAATACACCACGTGATAAAATTAATTTCTGATATCAAACAACCAGAAGACTGCTGTACCATAAACTGAGATGAAGCAATGAAGTAAAGAAAAAGAAAGTATAAGAAAGACAGAAGCCATAAGAGGGAGGTCGAGAAATGTTAAACAAAATAAAACAGTAAACAGAATGACAAAAAACAAGGGAAGTAACATGAGGCTCCTATCAATGTGGGATATGGAGAAAGGTAATGTATGCAGTCTTACTACAAGGAAAAAGAATGTTATTATGACTCAAACCTAGGTGATCCAAATCACTTGGGTAATAGAGTAACTTATAATAATGCCAAGAATCACATCAAGTGTGCAAGCCCGTATCAAGTATATATTTCTAAAACAAACTAATATCATCTTAATAGTAGTGATGTTTGCAGTACAACCTACCATGGATGAAACAATAATGCAAGCATACAAACTTGTTGCAGCAGTAAAATTTGGGTGATGGTATGACCTACAATGGAGGAGTAACAATGCAAACAAACTTGTGGCAGCGCTACCACAACCAAAAAAGTGATATTTCATGAACATAGAAAAACTAGGAAGAATTTGATAAATAACAAAAATAGAAGGTTTAAGAAAAGCATGATTAGTGATAACAGTCAAATGCAGCTTCCTCCCACATACTGTAAAAAGAATGGTCAAAGGGCAATTGGTTGTTTCGATAATGGAAAGCGGTTAAAAGGCCGAGCAAACCACACCCCTTTTCTCTAGTAACCATCTTTAAAGGACAAATTTTTAGAAGGATCCCCTAACATGACATACTTGGATGAATTAAGAAACAAAAATTACTTTCAGTTACGTTTCTTAGAGATATAAATCCATACAAAGATAAATAAGTAGATTATAGATGGTTAGCAGATACCAGAACCTGCCTATAAAGAAAAATTTCACTCCTACACATTTGAGATAAATTTATTAACTCATGTTACATAATATTAGTAATTGAAAGGAGTTTCTACTCATCCAATTCTTGTATGGCTTGAAATATGCCAAATGACACAAATCAAATGTGGATAGAAAAGCTCATGGACAGGACAAGAATGATAGTAAGTGAAAAAGAACTTTACTAGAACAAACCTAGGTAAGATTTCGAATTGAGAATTTAGTGATTTCAGCTAAAACATATATGGGCAGAACTCAAAAATTGATACATGATAACGTTTCCAATAAAGTTACTCAGACCAGTGAAATACCGTCATACGGAATAAAGCTAACTTCCTACTTCCAATTGGGGCAAGGTTTCAGCACACTTTCTTAACTTCATGCATCCACTAAAAAAATATTCAGAGAGATAAAACAAAACATATCTATAGTGTACATCCACTAATAAATCCTTAGATATTTAGCTCACAAAAAGTTTTAATAAAATGCTGATAAAACTACACATCCAGGTTTATATTTGGTCATCAATATAACACGTCAAGACTTCAGTACAACTACCAAATAACTAAAACTGAAGCAGGCAAAAACAATTGGTTTTACTTCTTCAGATATATACTTACCAATGTCAGATTCTTCGTCATCTTCATCGCACCATTTATTCCAATCAACTTTGATATATGGAGCAGGTTTTTCCTCCGACTTCTGCAACCGCTTCCACCAACCTTTTTTCTCTTTCTTGATTGAGCAGATTATGTTCCTCATCCCAATATTTGTTTTACTAGCCTGATAACACCATTAAAAGACAATAAAAATAATACCATAGAGCCAAAAGGGCTCATAAATTATAAGTGTCACGCCCCCAAATCAGGAGATGCGACAGGCCACCGAATGAACATGATATATATATATATATATATATATATATATATATATATATATATATATATATATATATATATATATATATAAACATATAAACCAGAAACTCAAGTCAGCTTGGTGGAAGCTTACACACACTCTGTAATTAAAATAATGGCAAACACTACATTTAAAAGATTAACATGTTAAAGGAATGAACAAAAGATTATTACTTCAAGAGGTATTATCTAACTGTTTTATATTAGTCACATTTTTCTAACATTAATGTTTTCACCAGTCCTTTAAATGTGGAACACCAATACAATTTTTGATGAGTTACCTGTGCAGGTAGGAGAGGGTTGTAAGTATTTTTTTTAAAATATCTATTACATGGAGATACGTCCTTCATAGTGCGCACATTGAAACTACTTGTAATAACATCAATAAAAAAATAGCTCATGCATTTCATACAGTTAAATCAACAAGTCCAATAATAAGAAACAACTCATGCTTATCATGTTCATCATGTGTCCACATTTATGTGTTAATGCCTCTTCTTATTATTTTCCTCTTTTCATCTTATACTTATGTCACATATCATATATACATTTTATTCTATTTCAGAAATATAATAACTAGACACTTAGGTGCATGCTAAATGAACTTACGGGAATCAATCCCAACGTAGGGACAACATTCTTGGTGGATTTCACTGCCATTATACATGTTACATTTATCACATAAGTAAACATTTAAAATAGGATGCTAATATGTTACCCTTGAAAATCATCTAATAATATGTTTTCTCTTTAATTCCTTCAAGCTACTGTTGAGTACCACTTAAACTGCCTCATTGCCTCCATCTTGGTAACTTAAATGACATTCATTTACCGATCCAAAGGTTTACATAAGCCTTTGTTTATCACCCTTGGAAGCCGCAATGAGGCATAAAGAATTATTAAGGACTATACTGAAAATATATATGTATAATATTTGTTTATTTATATTGCATGTCAAATTGTCACAAATGTACTTTTAGAAAATCCTAAATTCATATATCAAACATCTATGTATGAGACAAAATTTAAATAACTAACATGTCATGACACAAGAAATACAATCATAAATATTATCGTTAAATAATTACAAAAAAGGCAAATAAATTATCACATATCCTAGTATTCAATCAATATATATGAGATATATGCTCACCTAATTTTGATATTCAAACTTCAAAGTACCATTTAAATCCTTACTAAATAATATAAAGCATTTTTAAAACACCTAATTGGGTCAACAAGCCACTTACCTTGGGATTTAAGCCTTTATTGAATTATTCCATCTTAAGTTCAATCCTTACATGTGGTGATTAAATTAGTCAAATTAGACAGAAATCACAAAGTATTTTAAATGTTACCTTGAATATCAAAACTGGATGGCCATGTATTTTATATTATTGATTGAATACCAAGATATTTCATAGTTTATTTACCTTTTTGCAATTACCTGACAATAATTACCTGTTAATAAGATTATATATTGCTTGTGTGATAACATGTTAAGTTTTGCCCCATTGATACGTATTTTATATATGAACTTAGCATTTCTACAAGTGCATTTAATGTAACAACTTAACACACGGTATAAATAAAAAATATTATATATATGTATATTTTTTAAGTTAGTTCTCAATAATTCAACTACAAAAGATTTAATAGATTTTTTGGATTTCAACTGTGGTAAACCTTCGGACCGGCAAAGGGATAGAGTTTAAATCTACCAAGGTGGAGGCACTGAGATTTTATAACTAGTACTAGGTAGTAGCATTAAAAAGGGTAATGAAGAGAATATATTATCAGATGATTTTCAAGGGTAACAAAAAGTGAGAAATATGTCCTCAGGTGTTTAACCCGTGACTTGACACATAAGATGACGTTTAGGTCCACCAAGGATGTTGTCCACAAGGTGGAGTTGATTCCATCGGGTTTCGGTACTATTTGAGTGTCTGGTTATTATATTTTTTGAAAAGAATAAGACAAGTATATGATATATGATATAAGTATGAAATGAAAGAAGAAAATAAAAAAGATACATCAACACATAAATACAAGCGAATGATGAACATGATTAATATGAGTTGTTTCTTATTGTTGTAATATTAACTTAACTATCTGAAATGCATGTGTTGTATTTTTATTGATGTATTACAAATAGCTTAATGTGTTTAAAATCATACTTACCCGTCCTTAGATGAGGTTCATCCACTTCCTAGGTACTTTTTTTTATAAACACTCACCACCATGTACTTGATTTAAGGTTGAATGTGTACCTGGATGTCTCACATGTGTAGGAGGGGATTTTAGGATAGAAAGAATTTATGTAAGCCAGGAATTTATATTAAAGGACTATTGAAAGAATTAATGTTAAAAAAATGTGTGACTCCGAGATATAAAACGGTTAGATGATACTTCTTGATGTAATAATATTTTATTCGTTCTTGTACCATGGTACTTTTTTAAATATAACATTTGTCATTATTTAGCTATAGTATGTAGGCTTCAACCTGGGTGTGGGTGACTATAAGTTAGCCTGATTTCAGAAAGAAAAAATATATAGTCAAACTTGAATTAGTCTAGCTCATGGCTATTCGATGGACCATCGAGTCCCCTGATTTAGGGACATGACAAGAAAAAAGCTTGAAGTTCCTGTAATAATAAGAGCACAACAATTATAGATTTTACACTTTCACCCTCTCTGACTCAAAGATGAAGGCTACATGACAAATGACTTCAAACAAAAATCAACTTGGGACATGTGTATTTTAGGACATATGGTTTCGATATGCAGACAACAAAGACGAAAACAGAGTTTTATTTAATTATAAGAAAAAAGACTATCGAGAAACAATGCGTCAAAGAGATAAATTTGATCCATTGACAAAGAAGACTATGGTCAGTAGGTCCTTTATTTTGTACTTAAGTATGTTGAATTATGTTCATGAAAGCTTGTCAGTAAGACTAACACCATATAAGATGTTCAAAGTCACCTCCACTAGAGGACCAGTATTGATGTGATATTCAATCTTAATTGCAGTGCATAAAATGTATCAAATTGAAGAATTGCCAAATTTTTTGTGCAAGAGCAAAATGTTTTTAACCAATGCTTTCTTCTTAAACTAAGATTAAATTAAACTTTTCACTTTCAGTCAATCATAACTCTCCGGTAACTTATGGAATAAATGGTCATCCAACTGAGCAAAGCCATCTTGACGTCACACCTGCTTGCACATAAAATTCATCAACTATATCGGGATAATATAACGACTTGAGACCCATTTTCTCCAATTGGCTCATGTTCCTCATATGTTATCCAATTCAACCGAATGCAAAAAAAATAAAGTTTGACAAAACTACAACAACAATTAACAAATCACACAAAATATAAGTATATTTTATAATAAGAACAGGCCTCAAGCTTTATCAAAATTTTCGCTGGTAAAGAACCTTCCCAGTACCCACAGTTTCATCTGTTGATTCATAGACCACAAAGATTATAAAGATTATCATCTTCAGTTTGGCATAAAGATTATAAAAGCTTAGAGATAAAGATCAAGCATCGTACATATAACACATTGACAACATGCTCCTTCCAGCACATACAACACCTAACATGTGTATGTCTAGTCTAAGCAGGCAAATATAACTCAAAACCAGAACATAAATAACGTCATTAGGTTAAGCCAATTTGCACTTTCAAAATGTTCTGCAAAATGTGAAAGGAAGATGAACAAAAGGGAAAGCAGCTTGCCTCGGGAACAATCGAATCGTACAGCTCGAGGCTGAAGTCGAAGTGTTCGCCCTGAGCCCCGACGGCCGAGAACCTAAACGCCCCCTGCGGCTCGCTCTCCACGGAAACATCTCTCGCGTCCGGCAAAGACACGGTCAGGTAAACCTTGTCGGAGCGCTGCGCCCATAGAACTTCCGGTTGGCGGCTAAACACCCAGAAACCAAAGCAAGAATTTCTTGGTCATCATCGGAGAACAAAAACCAAATAGAAACTGTAAGAGAGTCGCCGGCTTTGTTTACCCCATGGATGAAGAACCTCGAGGAGATGCTCCCCTCAACAAGTGTCGAAGGGGGGTTTTACGTAGTGGAAAGGAAAGGGAAAGGGCGTCGAGAGTGGGCGTCAATGGGCAGGGAAGAGAGAAGGTGGGGAGCAAAGCCGTGCCATCGGCAGCAGAAGCTTCAGAAAAAGAGACACAGAAAAGCCATGTAGTGACTCTCTCTCTCTCTCTCTCATTACACATCACCCGTTATCTTCAGTTTTCCATCTCAACAATTTCTAAATTTATATTACGATTCTTATATTTATAAAAATAAAATATTTCTCATATAATTGATTTTATTAATAAAAATATTATAAAAGCACATGTTGATTTTGTTTCATTTCAATTTAGCACTGAGTATATATATGTGATATTTTCACTAATAAATTCGATGAATAGATTAAATATTTTACTTTCATAAATATAAAAATTTTAATATAATTTTTAAAAATATAAATATTAAAATATTAAAGATAAATAATTAACGAAAGGAATATGTCCGTTGTTCTTCTAGTGATTATGACAGAATAATTTATATATATATATATATTATTAATATGAAACTACACGAGTTTAGTACAATTTATTTTTCCGTGACTAGCAAGTTTATATTCTGAAAATTTTGACGGTCTATATAAATGGAGCCTAACACATTAACTTCCTTAGTTATATGTGAATATATTTGCAAATGTTATATGAAGACTACATAATAGTCGTTGACTGGTTGAGGAGGACAAGTAGTTCGAGTGCATCATCGGACGTGACAACAAGATTCTACGACTCGTTCATTGCTTTGACTTTATTCGTCTCATTTCACGTACATTGTGTTTGGGAAAACATCACAATCCTAATGTGAGTTACTGTCGGTAGTCATCTCGACCTCTTTAAACAAATACTTACGAGAGGAGAGGAAAGCAAGTATGAAATATCACCCAAAAACACAAAAAAAAGTGATGTATTTTGTGGGAGAATACACTCAAAGGTGATGATATATTTTTTATACCAAAGGGAAGATTGGGTTCGGCGTTTTCGGTACTTGGAATCGTTCTGGTTCTTATATCCCTTTTATTTTACTTGTGAAAGTAAAATTCTAAGAGAGAGAGAGAGAGAGAGAGAGAGAGAGAGAGAGAGTTTTTAACACCATATCGAACTGAAAGCCAAAAGGAGATAAGACATATATAGTGTGCAACTGTTTAGAGGTTTAGAGGTCACTCGTCTTGCCGTAGACAAGAAACTATGGACAATAATGGGTCTGAATGAGGTAGGTTTTACTTAAATCTGTTGAAGCTGTGCTACTAAAACCATTTTAGTGTCTTTAGGAGTCAAAATTAGGAATATAATATTATTCTTGGTCTATAAAACGGCTAATGATACGTGGTTTTCTTAAGCAGTCCGTCTCATCGTGAATAAATTATGTTAATACGCTTAATATTATTAATATTTTTAATTATATTTATTTAAGCAAATTCTAGAAGAAATGTGTATTTTTTTATTTTTGTTTTCCTGAGAGTGGCCATTTTCCTTTTTTTTTCTCTGTAGAGCGTTTTTACTAAATTTCGAATTTTATCCCTCAAAAAGTTGAAGAATTTTTTCACCTTTTTCGATTTTTTAAATCTTTTTCGTGGTTTAAGTTTGTTTCAAGAAAATTTTGAATCGATTCGAATAAACTCAAACTAGCTTCAAATTTTGATGTAATATTATATATATATATATATATATATATATATATATATATATATATATAACACCGATTAAAAATATTTTAATATTTCTATATGCTAAATATTATTTTAAAGAGGAGGACTTGGATTATAATATTTTTATGATTTCCATAATATTTTCTTAATTTTTAAAGAATTTTATCATTTTTATTTTTTTTATTATTTCATATTCTTATATTTTTTGTGGTTCGGCTGAATTCATTGGACCGGTTCTTAACGCATTGAAATCAAGCCAAGAAAGAACCGATTGTAAAGAGTTGGGAGGAAAAATAAAGCAAGAATATTTGTAGGATCATAAAGAGTAGAAATGCTATGGAAAAGAAATGAAAATGGGACAACCACATGCCAAAACCAGTGGCTTATTCACCCTATTCATAATATGATGATAAATACAGATATTATGATTGTGCATGGGAAAAGACGAGACAAAAGGTTTTCAAAAGGAGAGATAATTATAAACATTATGCTTATAATAATAAAATACCAGCACCAGGTTTATCTCTGCATAATGTGATTAACGTACTGTAATTAACGATATTCATTTAATTTTTATCACAATTTTTTTATATATTAAATACTTACTATCTGCATAATGGTGCACTTTCTTTTCATCTCGAATCAAATCAAAATAAGAAAACAAAAAAAAAGTAGACAGGACTTTTTTAAGGGCAAAATAAAGATTTAGTAAAAGAGAAAATCTACAGTAAGATTTCAAAATTTGAAAGTTATTTTTGCTGGGGATAAAATTAACCAAATAACTTCCAGTAGGAATGTCACAGCAGTATGCCGAGGGTCTATAACAGACCAGACCGCATTCAGCATTTTATATTGGAAAAGACTCGTCCAAAAATATTTTAATTTTAAACTATAGCAGACCAGACCGCATTCAGCATCGCAACACTGATATACCCTAAAAAATAACTGTGTATACGATAAAACAACATTATGCTAATCCACCCATAAAACAGGCACAGCCGCACCACATCATATCGACTGCCACTATCGCATAGTTTGTGGTCGCTTAATCGCAACCAAATATCTCGGAAGTTTGCAGGACAAGCAGTGGACTCAGAAGATTGCGGATGCCACAATGGTATAATGGGAATGCAACACAAACATTACGACGGTAGCAGCTTTCTCAAAAACGTTGAAAAATCAGCTAGATGTAACCTTAAAAATTTTGCATGATGTCCCAAAAATTGAAGACGATATAGCAATAGATTTCGGGAGCAACAATCTCCATAATGTATATACTGAATCCCTGGAAAATGTTTAGTAGTCTACTGATTCTTGCACCTGATGTATTCTCATCATTTGGAAAACGAGTGCTTCTGTCTGTGCTTCCATCGCCATGGAAAACTCATTATAACACCTAGTAGCCGAGAAGGATACCTATACGAGCAACACCAAAGAAATGGCACATAATGCAGAGAGACGTTGATGCTATCTGATCAGCAGTCACCATATCTTTTTCCTAACCCAAAACAGAAGCATGACAACTCCGAGCACAATGGCAACAGGAGCCCATTTTCGAATCAAAGCCTGTCATCAAGCAGGATCCAAATTTAGTCAGTAATCATAGCACACAGACGCATTCAAAAGTTTCATGTCATGTACCGATTTGTGCAATTAAGTGTATAGATTACATGTGTAAAAATGAGTGAAGTAGAAAATCGTCCTCCCTCAAATGCCCACAACCATCTAACCATTATCCACACTTCAGAATTTGGTCGTGCCACATGAACAAACAATTTTAGTGACAGGAGCAACTTGTGCCACTTCTTATACACACACACACGTATATGCAACAGTAAAAAAAAACACATCTGCTGACACTCAAGACATTACCAATGTAAATCCTAGATATATGGCCATAAATGTGTGGTGTAGAGGAAGCTTACTTTTCCTTTATTAGAAAGCAAATATTAGGGATCCCTTCCATCATTATGGCAACTTTAACATTGCTAATAGACTTAATTATCTGTTTGCTTACCTAAGCATCCACACATGTACCTGATACTATGAAGCTGAATTTTAAAACAAATTATTACTGTCCACCATTTTAACTTAGAAAGGTTTTCGTTTGCCAAAATGCTCATTTTCATGAAAATAAAGATTGGGAACAGCCAATGCAGTCTATGATCTCATACCATGATTTCCGTTGTCCAACCATTAACTCAAATCATAATGTGCCTTTTGCATCATTAACCTTTTCCCTTCTTAGACCCACTTATCTCATACATGTGCATACATTTATAAATGGCCTGCTACAAGTATAAATGTCATGCACCATACAATTAACATTTAGAAGTACCACACAGCTCTAATTTTAATTTTAGTGATCAGATTTGATAGAGTTATATTAACCCAACAACTCAGATGTTTTTGTTTTTACAACTCAGATGTTACTAGCTTAAAACAACATGCTCAAAATGTATGACCAATTTATTAGCTATTGGCTCATCTTTAGTCCAATGTTAGTAATTGAGGCATCACTACATCCATGCTCAAAGACACTCAAAAGCTTAATGTCATGATCAAGGTCCACCAACATGACTCCCAGAATCATTTGCTAGTGGGCAGCTTGTAAGACCCATAACTTGGTGGTGGCTCTATGTTATGATGTGTCTTTTATGTCATCTATGAGAAGCTATTTCCCACAGAGACGTCAATCCCGCCATCTTTATTATTAGGTCTACTGTGATATGTATTGTGCAACCAATGTGATAGAACTGTTGCCATAAACTTGAATATAACATGCCTAGAAACATGGCAAGTATTTAAAGACTCATCTAATGTTGTATACTTTTCCAACTTGCCATTAATTCCCAATGCGAGGTTATCAGAGCATCAAACCAGATGTACAACAGTCAGCTGTTACCGCATTATCCACGGAGGTTGTCAAACACAAAATCTGAAGCACTATAGTGAAATGCCATTCTATAATGGTATAATCACTCAAATCTTAGTGTTTGTTTATCCAATGCTTTTCAGGATGTTCCCTGATAGTTCTACAACATATTGATGGCAATGTTTTCAAGGACTTAAACCTTTATGTTTCAACAATGACGTTGGATATTAGAGAGCTAAAGGGCCATCAAGGCCACATTATGCGGAAGTCCAAAATTGAAAACAAAGTGCCTTTTCCCCTTTCTCCTTCCTTGTTTGCAGTAAAGACATGCAATTGGAGAGGCTGCTTCAGGACCAACCGGTGGCCCCATGCTTCCTTCTGCCTCTCCAGTCACCTGGCTTTACACACAAATAAGGCACGAAAACAGGTATAAGTAGTGTCCATACGGAAATTTGGTCTCAGTTCAGATGTCACTGACAATTTTCATAAAATTCAACTAGATGGTCTGTAAAGGCTAATATGGTCCCAAAATGGTAGACAACTTATTAACATGTACTTGTCAACAGACCTTATTAACATTTACTAGTAAGCACACAAATTCAAAAATTAATTGACCCTGGATGATT